CTCTTGAAAACTTCTATTCGAATTTCGGCAACTTTGAAATCTGGATCTTTCGCACATTCTGGGTAACCAGTTGAGCAATCATTGTCGAAGTCACGTTTTGGGCCTTGTTTTTCTTGTTTGCCCCAAGACAGTTGTGGAAATTGGACCATACCACCATTTTCCAAGTCTCAGTGTCGTTCTGTAGCGAAGCTCGTGCCTTCCACAGGCAATCATAGCCGTGAAGATGCTCTTTCGGATGTTTGGGCCCACTGGTCTTGCATTCGACATACCATGTTCGTTTAGAGCTAGTTTTCACCTGGAAAGTCTGACCATGTAGCAAGTTCCATTCTCCTACCACCGCCTGTACCGCAAGCTTGTCGTCGAAAACATAAGGTACTGAAGAAGATGCATCAGGATCAGTTTCGTCATCTGAGGACTCATCTGACGGGACGTACTCATCGTCATTGCTTTCGATGCCCCCGCCATCTTGATCTTCATCTTCATCTTAATCTTCATATTATGAAATTCCTTCATTGTCCTCAACTATTCTAGCACCACTAGTGCCGCACTAGTATCCTAGCCAGATGTACTTGCATGAACATGCTCTATTCTCTCAACTTTTTCAAGGTACAATTACGGATATTTATCAGCACATAGAAAAAGGAACTATACAGTATTATCATCATGAATGCGCACATAAGACCTCTTCCCGGACCTCTCCGTCTATACCAAAGTAAGATCAACATACAACCCTCTTTTATCAATTTCCATAACACCACATACCTTATCAACAAGTTTCGCGAAACCCAACACACTATCAATAATAAGATAACCGTCTGGTGCACTATGATTTACCACGACATTCCCATCATATTGAACGCCATAAGTACTATTCCAGTATACTTTAAGATGAACTGTACTCGTTAAAGACATATTTAGAGCCTGCAAAATCAATTCTTACGAAATCAGAACAATAGATTCAACATAAATATATTTTTCACTTTAGTTTTCCTAGAAACAATATTTACCCTATTTACATATTTAATAATTTCAAAAGAACAACCTTACGCCTGAATTCAATAATTCTTTTCTACGCTAAAAACATTCTAAAAACTCAATATCAATATTATAATTTTTTCAGAAATGAATATGCAGTAAAATTCAAAAATCATCTAATTTAACAATGCGCACACAATATTTAATGGTATTTTACAGATTTTATGACCAAAGAATTTAAATTATTATTAAATCTAAACCTTACATTTGAATTTAGTAAACCATTTTACACTAAAAACATTTAAGAACTCAATATTATAATTTTTTTCAGAAACCAATATACAATAATTTATAAAACTCATCTAATTTAACAATAGCACACACAAAATCTGATGGTATTTTACAGATTTCACGATCAAAGAATTTAAGTTATTATTAATTCTATATTAACATTCTATTAACTAATATTTCTTTCAATTCACATTATCAGCCTAAATAAAAATTTTAACAGTTTAATTGACTAAATCACAATTATTTATTGACTAATAATGTGTAAATCATACCAGAATTACAATAAGGCCCCAAAAATGTACATATTTTCTATAACGGAAAATAAATTACTTGGATGTTGAAATTCTGCGTTTGAAATAGTTCCTAGGACTCAAATCACTCTTCTTTAACTTCGGGGCAACGTCTCCTTTAGAAGAAAATGACAGTTTTCCTGGACTCAATAGCTATTTTTCTTCGCAGAAAAACTCAAAATGGGAGCTCAACACAATGAAAAATGTGGATTTGGGAAAAAATGACGTTTTTTGCTGGGAGCTTGACTTTAGGGTGTCTCAAACGCAAAGTCATGAGAGAAAATGTTTCCAGGGTTTAAAAAATGAAAAGTTCTATACTTCTTGCGCTTTTAATACGCGAAAAAACTTAATCAACATTAAAAAAATTTTGCCTTTTAATTAATTTTTTAATGTCCCATTATATCCTCCGAGCACCAGCAGTCTCATGTGCCCTTCACTCAATTTTCCTTCCATCAGACTTCTCAGCCTCAGTTTGGAGATTCTTTTATTGGCCTTATTCAGTTTCTGAAAGCTCTCTAGCTCGGCAGTCGTTACAATATACAAAAGCCTTTTTTTCGGGTATGTTTGAGGGTGCTGCGGGTCAGTATCAGGTTGATGACCATACTGGAGGTCAACATGAGAGTGAGGATGAGGATGAGGGTGTAGACCAACATGATCAGTTTGAGGATGAGAGTGAGGATGAGGGTGTAGACCAACAGGAGCAATTTGAGGGCCAGGGTCATCATTGCCATGACGAGTAGGAATCGAGTCAGAATCTATCGACTCCACTGTTGGCTTTGAGTAAACGCTAGACACAATGCCGCCTAATATACTCACTTTTAGCGACTTTCGTGCTAAAAAATGCAAGAAGAAGTATCAGTACTAGACTTTTTATGTAGTATTATTAGACTTGTAATTTTTTTTTTTTTTTGGCTTTTGTTATGACTTGTAGTATTTTGTTATGAGTTATATTAATTTCCTAAAATAATGATTTTACCTGAATCGTTGCTAAAACGCACCTTCGCCGATCAAATCCAAAAAAAAAAAGTCGTATTTTATTTCGAATTGTATTTTATTTCTTTAATAATTAATAGTTGTTTATGTAATCCCCTTAATTTTTCATTCTTAATTAATAAGTTTTTCTTCATTTTAAGAGTTTGTAAATGATAATATTCCCTAAAATTCATTCATATTTTTAAGCATTTTCCTTATATTTAAACCATTATAATTAATTTAAAAAATTTGTAAATTAAATTACATCTAATATAGAAATCCATAAAATTACGTCATTTAGCATTATTGATATTTTTTAATACAATTCTACTCATTTATTCCGTCATAATTATTTTGTAAATTTAAAAATATACATTTATTCCATTTAATTTAATCATTAAAAATTCTAATATTATATTCATAAATTAAATCATAAAGTTACTTATTTATTTAATCATTTATAATTTTTTTATTTTTCTTAAATTTAATAGTTCATAATATTATATATTTAATTTGTAGATTTAATGTTTTGTAATAATTATTATGATTTCTTTACTTTTCATCATTAAAATTTTAATAAATTTTGTTCATAATTTTACCTACAAATTTAATAACTAGGAATATTAAGTGAATTAGTACTACTATTTCCTCTTTTTTGGGCGTTGAAGTTTATTTTAGCAAAATTCGCTTGTTTGAAACGCAAATTCCTTTTTTTCACGTACTGATTGCGCTATTTTTTTAATCAAATTTTTTACCATTAATTAATTACGATTAGGTTGAATTAATTCCACGTTTATGTTATTTTGCATTTTGGATATGCGAGTTTTAATTTTTTCGTGTTTTGAAAACAGTATATTTTTACTTTCGCTTTTTGAAAACGCTATTTAACCAATTTTGCGTTTCTGATATGCGATTTTTTTGGTTTCTCGCATATTAGATACGCGAGGAGATTATTTCTTTCTACGTTTCAAACCCTAGATCTATTTTGTTCTTCTTCAGATATTTAAGATATATATATATAATTATTATAAAAACTGTAAAAGAAATTCATAATTGGTTGTAATTATTATACTTCACAAATATGTAAAACTTCACAAAAGAATATATCTTACTATATAAGAGCAATAACCACACTTCAAAGAGCTTTCCATTAATTGTCATGTGGCATTTCCATCTAATTGTTCCAAAAATTTAAAATAAAAAACAAACATCAGCCTTAAAAAAAAAACACACCAGGTTTTTAAAATAACATATACCACATCAGCTATTTCAAAAGCAAATTTAGATCACGCACAATAGAAAATTGCTCCATGTCTCCCACGACTAAAAAAACAAATTCTTTCTCTTCACTATTCATCTTCATGTCCCAATTCAACAAACATCAATGATAAACTCCAAAAATAAAAAATTACAAAAAAGTAAACAAAAAAATTACTTTCCTTTTTTAACGAGTTTTTTCCATATCAGATCTTTAAAAAAATGTATATAGTTTTTTAGACATCCGCTTTTTTAAAAAAATCTATATGTGTAAGATTGAGTTGAATGCTACTAATTGATCGGTGATAAAGAGTGTGATAAACTAAATTAAATTACATTGTATAGGATTTAATTAATATATTAATTGATCAGTCATAAGTTTGAAGTAGAATACAGGCAAAATACTACAAATACTGCAAACTTCATTTCTCCCACCTCCAACTCAAAACTACAGCAACACACTCCTCTTCAAATACCTTTACGGCTTCTTCGGCAATTTCTCCTTTCCACGGCCAAAATAAAATTCCTAATAGTCCTAAATTACTATCAGGTGATTCTAATTGGATAAAAGTTCAACCTCCACCAATGTATCCGTCAAGTTCACATCTCCAAAAAATATTTCCTTTTATCTTCTACATATATATATAAACCCCAAACCAAAAACAATATAAAATTATTTTCATCTTTCTTCTTGATGTGCTGCTGTTTTTTGCCATTTCCGTACCTGTAATTGTCAACTATAGGTGTTTTAATGTCAACTATAGGTATTTTAAGATAATATACTAATTAATTTGTATAGGCCATCCGTTTGCATACGTTAAAATAAATTTGTTCCCATAAGTTTTTGCTTATACCAATTCTAATTCTCTATTTATTCCTATAACTTTTGTGTGAGGTGTCGCTCTCGCTACCTTTTGCACTACAATTGTCACTAGGTACTGCTGCTATTCGTAGCCAAATTTTCTAACTTTTTAACCGTTACTGTACAAGTTTTTTGGAATCGGCGAATTATTATCATTTGTTATTGACAAAAAATTACAGATATACTGGACAATGGGCGCCAGTAAACACTAGTCTACATATAACTAAGGGGGGATCCACCTAATATGGCACCGTTTCTTCTCGGTAGCCGGTCACCATTTTAGCAACTTTAATTGTGCGCGTAGACTGGCGTGAGTTGACACTCGGTAACTTTTCCTCATAATGCCATTAAACGTGATTTCTTCTGCCGACCGGTGGGTCATTCTTTCTCTTTCCTCCTATAACACGAACGATGTTGTTCTCCCTTGCACCCTCTATCTCTGGCTGTTCACCATCAGCCCATCAATGGCAGAAACAACATCAACGTGATCTTCTCTACTTTAGTCCAAAAGATTTGCGGTTAATCCGATTGAGCTAAATTTGAGGGCGGCTTTGCCCCTCTATTACTGCAATTTCAACCTATTTTTCTCCTCTTTTCCTCCGTCACCGAAAGATTACTTTTTTCCCTCAAACGGTCATACCCACCATCTTCAAGACTTCGCTGAGGACTTTCTCAAACGGCCAGACTCTTCCTATCCTCTCTCATCCCAACCATCATAATTCAATTTCAGCCATCCTCTATTTTCTTCCGTTGGATGCGACTGGTTTCTCCATTCCAACACATGACCACAATTTTTTACTGGTGAAAAGTTCCTTTGCGCGCAGTTGTTTGCTGGTGTGATTTGCTCGCTGCAACTCTTCTCTGAATTTAATGAAAAAAGGTGTGTTATCAGTAATACTATTTCCTGATTCTTGAGCCTTCGAACGAGGAATTTAAATTTGTTCCTATTGGTTGAATTATGATTTGAATATTAATAATTTTGCTGCGTATTTGAATTTATAATTGCAAATTGTTGGGTTAGATTCCAATCGTTCTGCCATTTGGGAATTTTATGTGCTTTTTGCGTGGGATTGTTAGGTGTGTTGGTGTTTGATTGTTATAGTTTCTCAAATCAGATGCAGCAAATTTGATAGTTTTAGAGTTATTTTTGTTTTTTTCTTCTTAAGTTGCATGCCAACTGTTTGATAGCTGGTCTCAAAGAACATCATGCCGGCGTTGCTTTACAAAGTCCACTGTTTAAGTTGATGGCGCATATGATGAAGTTGTTCTAATTAGCTTGATTGTGGAGTTTCACTACTGTAGTCACATTAGTATGCTTAGATTTTTTGTGCCGTTCTTCAACTGATCAGTGAAGTTGAAGCCAATGGATCGTTAAAAATTGCATAAAGTAAAAGATGCAAAGAGAGTGTTTGGTGAAATGCTTGAGAGAAATATTATCTCAAAATAACTGGTCATAGAGAAGGGATGAAAACCTTCTAAAAGAGGATGGTATCATTTTGTTTACGAAGGATGGTACTATTTTTGTAAAATACTTTCAAATTTCAGGTCATTTGTCTCTTTATCTCCTCCTTACAATTGCCTTCGTTTACTTTCTTAATGGAATAAAACAAGAGAAGTAAAGACATGGTATTCAGACCTTCATTGGAAAAGTGATTGGGGATAACAACCATTTCGGAGCCACATGAAGAAAGAATAGGAGCACAAATAATTGAAAGATCTGAATACCTATTGGAAAACTGGCGCGTTACTTTGCTTTAAACAAAGAAAGTTGCTCCTGATTCGAAGCCAAAATCATGGGGTGTTCTACAACGCTTGAAATTGGTTAGGCCGTGAAACTTATGCAAATTGCAGTTAACACTCTACTAGGAAATAGTTTATGCGCATGGATTAGAAGACTTCTCAAAGGTTGTAGCCAATTTAAACATGCATACAGAAAAGGAAATGGAAAAGCAATGCAATGGCCAAATTCATTTGGTTCATCTATTCAAATGTAGCAAAAGCTTTTAGCAATTTGGTTAAGAAGAGTTTTCATGTAACACTGATAAGACAAAAGTTATCGATTTAGCCTCCATGTAGCTGTTCTTTTTTGGTTTCATAATATCTACTGAACCAGAATTTGATTTATTAAGATGATCAAACTCTATAAATTCAATACTCATCATATTTCCGACAAAAAACGCCGCGTCAGGCCACACCTTGTGTGTGGCCACCTTACCTAGTAATAATTGAAAAGCAAAATATTTTCCCAATAATAAATAAATAAATGTGGAAAGTAAAAGAAAGTGAAGCCCATAATGTAGATTTAACTTTCTTGAATAGCCCAATGTAAGGACTTAAGACTTGGACCGGGCCCGTCAATGGTCATTTTTAGAACGGGCTTGTTACGATAACCCTAGCCGAGTGTGCATCTGACATTTATATCACTCATATAAAATCCTTGAATCGAATAACACTTCCAAAAACCCTATTTCTCGAGCAGCTATTGCCGCTGGAACTTCTATTCGCCCCTTCCATAACGCCATCCACTGCGTAAGGTAATTCTTGATCCATATATTCTTTGTTTAGTGGCAAAAATTTCTTCTGGGATTCAATCGTATTCTTAGCGTTATAGATTCAAACGCAAATTTGAATTATCTATTTGATGATGTTGTCGTGTTGAGTTGTCCTTAATGTTCTCGGGGTTCTGTTTTTTTTTTTAGAGGACTTTGAATCTGTGTTTTGATATTGAACGCTTAGGTGTTTGTTCGAATATGGGATTGCTGTTTTGTGTTGGGCTGTTTCTGCTTTGGATCTAAAGAAATGATTTTTTTTTTTTTTTGTATGAGCTGGGTTTCTGGATAGCGATTATATTCATATTAGGAAGCTCGTTGTTGATGGGGTTTCATTAGTTTTAGCTTCTTGGTGTGTTTCTTTTTGACTGTATTCCCGTTCAGATTCTTTTGGAGTCTGGGTTTTGACTATATTTGTTTGTGAAATTAGGTTCTTTGAAACAAATTTGCAAAGATGCAGAACGAGGAGGGACAGAACATGGATCTTTACATTCCAAGGAAATGGTAATAAATGGTTAAATGTGTTCTTCTTTTTTTTTTTTCTTTTTTTGTATTGCTAAAGCTAGTTTGAAAATGTAAAGCTCTCTGTGAGATGGTTATCTTGATTCTTATTGACCTGTTGTAGTGGATTTGCAGCTCTGCAACCAATAGGTTGATCACTTCCAAGGATCATGCCTCTGTTCAGCTGAACATTGGCCATTTGGATGAGCATGGTGTGTACACTGGCAACTTTTCTACCTTTGCTCTATGCGGTTTTGTCCGTGCTCAGGTTGGTTACTGGAATTCTGCTATTTTATGCTTCTGGTTTTGGTTCTTTCCTCTTATTGTAATTTGGTTTTGTGTCATGTTCAGTATTTTCCTATTGATTCTGATTTAATAGTTATTCTTTTCCAAAGTATAATAGGCTAATTCTATGTTCTATGGGTTAATGACTTAATGCTGTATCATAAGTGGTATGAAGTTGTTAATTATTATTAGATGTTCCCTTTTATCGTTCTTAGTGCTTATGCCCTTCCCCTGATCATGTTTACAAACGGGTGCGTGGAAGGACCAGCTATTTCTATATTAGCGTGCTTTTCCATGATGTTTGGAGATTTATAGACACTTATAAGAGCTTTGGTCTATGTCTTTCTTAATGTATGTTATCTATAGACTGTTATAAGAGCAACGGTCTTTGCCTTAATGTACGTTATTTTGGCCTTTTTCTTGCAGGGTGATGCTGACAGTGCCCTTGATCGCCTGTGGCAAAAGAAGAAGGAGAAGGTTGATGTACGCCAGCAGTAGAAGGCTAGAGTAGGGCTTGATTTGCCCTTAGTAGTTTATATTTCCCTCTGAACCTGTGATGTTTTTCTGACTGCATCGCGCGACTTTGTGATATGGCTTTAAATTATTCGGGTCTTTCCTTGAATGATTAATATTTGAGCATTGAACGCATTATTATTCAGAGATAATAGTTTTTGCGCTCTGTTTGCAACATTTCTCTTTAAATGAAACTTTATTTTGACGTCTGTTGAATGCCCCAACTCCCTAAGACCAAATCTTACTGCGGCCTGTGAAAAAAAAAAGGACAAAAATACAGAAATCTACCAGGGCAAATCCTCCAATGAAGAAAACTGCAAAAGTTTCCCACCTATTCTCATTCGGAGCACGAGTTTCCTGCTTGAATACACAAAAATCAACTCAGAACCCAGAATTGATCCCCTAACTTTATTTACACAATTCTAAATACTCCCTCTCTTTCAAAATTACTGTCATCCTGTTCCAAAATTATTGTCCAATTTAAGATTTCACTTTCAATACAATTTGAACTAAAAATGATTCAAAATTATTGTCCAATTTAAGATTTCAGTTTCAATACAATTTGAACTAAAAATAAAAATTCAAACTAGACAATAATTATGGGACGGATGGAGCGAGTAAAATGTTCAAATGGTTCTTCACATTTCGGCTTACTTGAATTTACGTCCCTAACATTAACATTTCAATATTATAGTCCCAAACATTATATTTTCACACTTTTTTCGATCTCATTTCACTGTTTCGACTACTTTTCTGTCAAGCTCGATGTTGACCGGTTGTTGACTTGCCGGAATCAAGAGTATTATCGTCTTTTCACTTAATTTGAATTTTCATTAATATTTAAATAATTAAAAATATTATAAAATTTAAATTTCATTATTTAGTTATTAAAATACTATTTATTAATTTTTTTGTTACAAAATATTATTCATTAATTTAAAATATTATTAGGGTGTGGCGGCTGACAATGTTAGAGAAATTAAATTGCATTAGTTATTTTGAATGCGCTTCGCGCGTGCCTTAATTTTAAAAAATTAACAAAAAAATTATGACAACGAATAAATTGAGGGAAAAAATGTAGAAAAATATTTTTAAATTAACGATTCTATTGAATAAATTCAATTTCACGCATAACACAACATCACAATTAATAATCTTGTATATGCCTAAAAATACAAATATGCAACTAACAAATAAATTTCAATACATGGATAAATATATTTGTTTTAACTAACGAAAACATTTTATATATTTAGATTAAAATATATTTCAATACTTGTATAATTTGTAATTATGAAAAATTATACTTAAAACAAATACATTCTACTTCCAAATAACTAACCTAAATCAACAGATGAAAGCAAATAATGCTTACCTTTAATTTGTACTTGAACTTCAATCCCAATTTTCCTTTGAATTCGTGATTCTAAAACTCTTTTCTTTTTTTTTTTAAAAAAAAAAATCAAATTCATATTATCGTAGAGTTTTCTATTTTTCTCACTGTGATAGTGACATTCGTATGAGTATAAAAACATCCCTACAACTATGAGTGTGTTAGTAAATCAAAAAAAAAAAAAAAAACACAATTATTACTCAAACATTCGAATGTTTAATAAAATAACTTGCATGCATATAAACACTCAAAATATAGAGGAAAAAAGAAAAACTAAATTAATCTAACATTTAAAAGCAAATGATACCAAAACATAATATGCATAATACAAAGGACATGAGAGATGCAGAAAAAAGATTTTAAAAATATTCAAATTATTTTCGTTCTCTAATTACTTTTTACTTCGTTTAGTTTGAAACTGAAATGGAATCATATGTATTGTGTTCACTTTTTTCTTTTTATTTTTTTTATAAGGCCAGGAATCCCACCAGAGATGGATAAACTCATATCTGCTGCAATAGCCTACAAATCACAAGGGGAGTAAATTATCTTAGACAAACTCAGGTGCAAAATTGGAGATTCATAAGTGACTTTGTCATAATAAGTCCTCTAGAGTTGTCAATGAGCAAAGTTAGAGGGGGTAGTTGCCTATGAGCAAAGTTCGAGTCATCCCTCACTTTTTGTTAAAGTAGGGGATTGAAGTCGTGATCTCCTTTTAAGAATAAGAGTGATTTTACCACTGAACCAACATCTGAGATGTCACTGTGCTCACTTAATTGGAGAGTAAACTATATGATTTCTCATCATGGGAATAGAAAGCCAATGAGTGATTAGGCATTACAGAGAAATCTAAGCAAAAAGCAAGGCTAATATCAAAGAGATTGTCCAACGAAAGAATTCTATATATTTGAAGTGCAGGAAATCAGAAAAAACAAAAGTAAGAAAAGAATATGAAATTAATGAAAAGAAAAATGAAACAAAACATGTAACTCTAGGAATTAAATGAATCCTATAATAAATGAAATAATGAAAATATTATTAGAAGATTGAAAGAAAAATAAAGAATTATATTAACAATGGTAAATTTGAGGAAATCGAAAAAATTGAACATAAGAGGAGAAGAAGAGACTCATATGCATATGATACTACATTACATATCATTATTAGGAGATTGAATGAAAAATAAAGAATAATAATGATGATGGTAAATTAGAAGAAATGGCTTCAAACAGAAGGAGAAGAAGAGACATATATAAATGTGATAGTTTTACCAAAAATTTGTCTAAACTCACTATTTATTTATCATCACGTTTTTTTTAGACAATTTCGTCTTGCAGAATTTTTCTTTCTTTCTTCTTTTTTTTTTTTTTTTTTCAAAACTCACGTTGTGAATCAATTAAACAACGTATGCTAGTAAAAAGTAAGAATAAATATAGGAAACAAATGATGAGAAACATTAAGCATATAAGTTTTTATTGATGACAACAAATCAAAGTAATGATCTTCTTTGTTTTCGTACGCTTCCTGCAGATACCAAACATTTTCACTCAATAACAATTCGTGACAGATAACTATAAACAAATGTCTAATTATTCTTACTAACTAAATAAATTTAAAAAGTAAAATAAATAAATAACTTAAATTATTCCTAATCATTTTAATGTTGATGAATTTTTACCTAAATAAAATAAAAAATTGAAATGGATAACTAACATAAATTGAAATGGATAACTAACATTAAATTATTCCTAGTCAATGTAATTATGGTGTAATATAATTATTAAAGTAAAATGGATAAATAACATGAATTATTCTTAATCAACATAAGTATAGTGAATTGTTACCTAAATAAAAGAAAAAATTTAATGGAATAAGTGAAATCCAATTATTAAAAATAATGTAATTATGATTAATAACTAATTGAATAAAAAAATTAAAATAAATAAATAAAAAAGATTTTCAAATAAATTGGGTCACCGGGCCGCAGATGAATCCGACCTATAGCATGAGTCACGGGGTTATGCAGCTTCAAGCTGGGCCACCATACGGACCAGCCTAGATTAAAAAGGCCGAATAAGTTGGCGAAATTGGACCGCAAAACACTACAGCCCAATCAGCCGCGGACTGCAACGATCGAGGATCAAGACATTAAGAGAATAGAAAACATAACATAGAAAATCTTTTCATTTTCTTGGGTTAAAAAGACTCCTAGTTAATACTTAAAAGGTTAATAAAGAACATTAATTTGTTCATAATCTTTAAAATAAAAATAAAAGAATATATTAATGGAAGGAGATAAAAGGTCATAACATCAAAGGACCAAATGTAACATAAAGTCTCTTCATTTTCTTGGTTAAAAAAGAGGGGTAAAAAAAACTCCTAGTTAATAGTTAAAAAAAGAAGACTACTAATGAATTAATTTGTTCATAAATAGTCTTTAAAATAAATAAAAGAGAAAATAAATGGAAGAAGATCAAAGATCATAACATTAAAGGAATATCGATCAAATATAACACATACAATCTTTTCATTTTCTTGGTTTAAGAAAGTGAAAAAAAGTCCTAGTTATTAATACTTAAAAAGAACTATCAAACTCAAATTTGTTCATAATCTTTAAAATAAAAATAAAATAATAAATTAATGGAAAGAGATAAAAAGTCATAACAATAAATGACCAAATGTAACATATAAAGTCTCTTCATTTTCTTGTTTAAAAAAGAGGGGAAACAAAATCTTAGTTAATAATTAAAAAAGACTACTAATGAAATAATTTGTTCATACATAGTCTTTAACATAAAAATAAAATAGAAAATCAATGGAAGAATATCAATAGTCATAACATTAAAGGAATACCAAATGTAACACATACAATCTTTTCATTTTCTTGTTTTAAAAAATGAAAAAAAAAATCCTAGTTATTAATGCCAAACTCAAACTTATATTAAGTAATTATAATATATGTTGATAAGAAAGTGTCGAATTGGGAATGGGAGAATGGGAACTCGAATGGGGAGGTAATGGATAATGGCATAGGGACCAAAATGACGTCGTGTTGACCGCCTGAGTGTTAGTTGAAGAATAAAATGACATATATGTCCCTTATTAAAAGTGTACTAACATCTATTGTCCAATTACATCGTTCAATTTAAACGGCTCCTAACCAATTAAAATCGAAATTCTACACTCCATAAAGATTTTTATTTGCAAGTAGAGATTATGATTAAATATTTACATTGGAAGATTGACTACACTCAACTTCATAACACGTGTTTGATTTTTTTAACTTACACTTAATTATGTGATATTTGTATCAAATCTCTTCGCTTTTTATGTACTCCTTCTGTCCCAAAATTATTATCCAGTTTGAGATTTCACTTTTAGTACAATTTGAACTAAAAATAAAAATATAAACTAGACAATAATTATGGGACGGAAAGAGTATAAGATTTTCGTTTTTCCGTCAGGCACATCGAATCGCTGTTGACCAGGAACGCGATGTCGGCAACGTCGCACACAACCATCACAGTTTAGCATCAAAATTAGAAAACAAGATGCAATGTTACCTGCCAAATGTAGACCAAATCACTATATTTGTATGTTTTGTGCCTTTTTTTATCATTAATTAAATTCAGGAGTGGAATGAAATTCCTCTTATTATTAACAAGTTTTTGAAATTCCTTTTCCAAAAAAATTCTCCCGATCTCAGAGAACAAAATCAAAATTACATGAGACTAAGGAAGGAGATTTGTTCACTTTCAGTTTTAGAGAGAAATGAACCATTATGCAATACTACTTGAATAAAAGTCTAGTGGTTAGCAAGTTTTGCTTTCTGATATTAGACCGGCGTTCTATTCTCACTAAAAATAAGTAAACGAAATTTTACCCACATTTAAGTGGATTCTGTTAGAGTAGATTTGACGATTAACCTATTTTTTTTCTTTTTATTTTCATATAAGAGATCTAAATTTCAATGTTATTAATTTATTCAGCCCTGTAATGTAACCTTATTTTCAACTTAAAACGTTAGAGCTAGAAAGTAGAGAACCTCTTTTTATTTTTTACTCTCTCCGTCCCATATTTATTGTCTACTTTGCCCAAAAAATTTTGTCCCAAAATTATTGTCCAATTTGACTTTTTATAGAGTAAGTTACGCATTCGCCCTTTAATGTACTGACTGGAAACTTTTTATCCCGTTTTATCCCCGACGGCTCATCAGATCAAAATGACGCCCGTAACATAACATTATTCTCTTTCTCAAATATCTCACGGTAAATGTCGTGGGCGTCACTGGGATTAAATCTATGAAAAGGGTCTGGATGCTACTGGTGGGTCCGATTCATATAAGGGCTGCCACCGCGCGGAAGCGGTGGAACTTGTCCGGATTTCAGTGCCTCCTCGCTGTAAAGATCGCAGATCTGCCTCTTCTGTGGGTCGCTCAAAACGTCATAAGCTTCAGAAATCTACTTGAATTTCGCCTCCGCTTCTTGCTTATTACTGAATAAATTCTTATCAGGGTGTCATATCAGTGCCAGCCGCCGATAAGCTTTCTTCAAATCATCATCGGTTGCATTCCGATTAACTTTGAGAATGTTGCAGTAATCCACTTCTATAATTGGGATTCTGAAGGGGTTTTATAGATCACTAAAAATTGGAATTTTTTTTTTCAGTAGATATAAATAGATCTATGGAGAAAGATGCCGGAAAATAATAGAGAGGTGGGTGGAGATATTGGTTTCTGGTTTGGAACCATTATAACTTTTACAAGCGACTGGGTAGTTGGGTTAAACTTGCATGGGCATATTCGTTCTTTTAAGTAAAAGTATATTTAAGTTTGACTAAAAATAAAAATTTCTAATTTAATCAAACTGGACAATAATTATGGGACGGAGGGAGTATTTTTTATTATTACCGTCAGGAATCCCAGTGAAGGTGATCATCTAGAACCCATTTGCTAATTCTTCCGGAAATGCATTGAGACCCAACAGTTGAGAAGAAGATATATAAAAAAAAAAAAAAAAACTAATCGTTGACATTTGCCCAATATATGGAAAGATTACGGGAAAGTATGTTACAAATACTCACTACAGCTATAAAATAATGTGTGATTGCGATGTTTTTGCTACTTGTATACTTTGTATTTTTTTTTCCAGGAGATAGTAATGAATTTTCCACAATAATTCTGCCATCCTCATCTCTGTCCAAAGAATAAGCACTCAATCCACAAGAAATATCCAGCGGGAGATTAACCTCCATAATTACATGAGATATGGAACTGGACCTATTTCTTTTGCCAACAAACAATGATGCTTTTTTTTTTTTTTTTTTTTGGTTTATAAACATACAAGTGTGAGCCTTAGCTCAAACTTATATTCCCGTCTATCTCGTTATCTACTAATCTACTAATAAAACTATGCAAAAGAGACACTAGCGATTAGAAGGGGCGTATATTCTTTTTCTGTCATAATTACTATTCGCACAAAGCTTGATCTTCTTCACTTGAAAAAACAGATGGACCAGCTGGGAATTTTCCCACTTCAAAACTTGAGATTATCTTTCAAGTATGACACCACTTCTTGCTGCAATTTTTTTTTTTTTTTAGGAAAGCAAAATGAAAAATATCAAAAACTCCATATCCAACATAATAATAATGATGAAACAATAATCTTCGCGGTTAAAGTAAGAAAAAAAAATACCAATGTCATAGTATAATACAAAAACTATTTGACAAAGTGGATAAATGAGCAATCAAACCTTCAAAATTTACAAAAAGTAAAATATAAAGGAGCATAAATCAACCCACTAAAATGAAAGATGAACTAACATCAAACGATATCAAACTACAAAAAAACAAAAAAAAATTACCAAAATTTACTGACAAACTTCTTTCATGTGAAGAGGAAAGAATGGCAGATGCTTAGCTCTACCTAAATGATGTCACCTAAATCAAGGGTAAAGCACATAATCCAGCCATATATGAAAGAATTCTGGCTTAAACAAGCCACGAAGGCACCAAAACATCAATTAAATGCAAGACATCATCTAACTAAAAAGCGTTGAAAATCAAAACTCACGAGGGCAAATGCCCGAATTCAATCTCCACAATTAAAGTTTCATCAAACAGTGTTTGGACCTCCTGTCGTGAATAACATCGAGAATACCCTATTAAATCTTTTGTTGGACTTTTGTCTCAGCTCAATTAGAATATCTCCATTTTATTGTCTAGAAATTAATAAGTTACTCTTCTAATTTCTTTGCCTTGATTCTCAGTTTCTCTACCCTTAAGAAGACATCATTTGGGGATTATTTATTTTCAACAACAGCGGGTCTTTTCTCCACATAGTTGAGAGCCCAATCAAAACTCGTCAATTCATTTCCTTCTTATGTGGAAGAATGAAACTTCAAACTTGCATTTATATGTATTTTTTTCAAGTCAATCAATTTTTCATCCAAAGCACCATGCACATAATGATAGTTTTTATCTATATGTTTTGACTTGAAATCAAAATTAGATTGGACTTGAAAAATTGTATGTATGATAATCGTGATTAAAGCATTGTCAAGAAGCAAGTTTGATTTTGCAGTTCTCTTCCACCACATAGTAAGGATTGGAAACTATGTTAGGTTTGTTTGGGCTTCAAACTATGTGGACAAAAAAGTTGATGCTGTTAAAAATAAATTTGGAATTGATGAAGCAAAGACATTTAATGTATACTCCCTCCATCACAGAAAAATAGTCCAGTTTGAAAATGTACAACTTTTTTTAATTTGGTCAACATACAAAATGTACAACTCATTTTATGCCCCTAACTTCCACTAATGCCCCTTTTAGTTATTTCTATAAAATTTAACTACATATGCATTTATTTTACAACTTAAATTTGATCAAAATTTTTATCTCAAAAAATATTGACAATGGATCTTGATGGAAAGATCTCGATAGGTAGATTAATTTGATAGATAACACATTTTTTAATTATTCATGTATTAAAAGATATAATCATTTGAAAAAAATATAAGAAAACTAAAAAAATGAAAATCAAAGGAAGTGGACCTTGTTTTCCTTACCACTACTCTTTTGGATATTTAAGTCATTTCAATTCAATTAATTTTGACTTTTCTGAAACTGAACTATTTTTTTGGGACAAATTTTTTTATGAAAGTAGATTATTTTTGTGAGAGGGAGGGAGTAGTATAGTTCCGACTGATGATTATTAAACAAGAAAAGATCGAGCATATAGACTCAAGAAAACAATTCAGTAAAAAGGCTTTGACCCTAAAGTTCCAAATCCAATGCTCTTCAAGATCAGATATCCATACCATGATCAATTATTCTAAAATTTTTAGAATACGCATTAATATTTATTTTGAATCATGTAGATTGAATTCTAGAGGCTACTTTGTGAATTGTAATTTTCGAATTTTATTTCTATTTGACAAAGTTTTTATATCTTCCAATTTACATTGAACTCCTTGCACTTTCTTATCTTGTTTAACTTCAAAACTCAGTTGTGCAGTAGTTCGAAGTTGAATTACAATCTTAATACTTGCTCTATCTCAAAAATACAAATTTCGAAACTTAATGTGAACTAATTTTTCTAGACAGAAAGAGTGGCTAATAGTAAAGTAAGTTGCTCACTAAAGAGTTATGTAGTCTTTTTCCTCAGGTTGTAAGGGGGTTTTCACTAAAAAGGCCGGTGCTCATATGTTAGTCTTTTGATTTCTATTATTCCTTCGATTAATGGGTTTTGAAATTGGTCTTGGCCATTTTTACGTCATTTACTAGAATCAACACTATTTGGAAAATGCTTCAACCTATATATATATATACATATATATTTTATATTTTGTTTTAAAAATGGTACCTGATATTAATCGAAAATACCGATACTATTACGCTTAAACTTAAAACTATATGTATTGGATTAAAAAAATAGTCAGAGTAGTGATTTTAGACTAAAAGAAAAAGTTATAAAATGAAATGTGTGAGACTAAATGTGAAAATTTAAAATGTGAAAATATGATTTTACCTATATGTGCTGGACTAAAATTGCAGATTAAAGAATAAAGCTATTTAAAAAAAAATTATATACTGTAAAAGAACAGAAAGAAGGTAATGGGCGGGCATGAACTTTTTGAAATTCCAGAATCCTTTTTAGACCGTGTAAGACACGCTCCGCATTGATTGGGCTATTTTGTTAGTTAATTTTTAAATTAGAACCGATTTTATCTTGTGTATTGATCAAATAATTCCGATTTCAAATTAGCATATGTTTGGTTGCAAAAAAAATTGGAGAGTGGAAATAGAATTCGAGAGTTTTCTTCAGACAAAAGGTGGATTAGAACCAATAATTACAATTCAATTTTCAATGACTAAATAAAAAATCCGCAGATCATTCCTGAAATCAAATAAGAGTTTATTTAAAAAAAAAAAAAAACAGGTTTGATTCAAACTGAATAAACGATCCATTCTGGGCCGCGTTATAAAAAGCTTTGTAACCACATATTGCTTCCCTTTTGTTTTCTTTTCTGGTTATTTATTTATATTTTCATACTTTTCAAGCTACAATCCTCTTCATTATTGTCTTTATTTTTAAACAACAACCTCATATAATAAATTAAGTCAAATGGAGGTCGAAGAAACTTACAATTAAACAGAGGATGATGCAGCCGGCAGCCCCTGGGAACAAAGCGTACCAGTAGTTCAATTGATGCATTTTAGCACCATCAATGAATAACAAAGGTAAGCTCGCAGCTGCAAAATCATGATAGTAAATGTCACTTTTAACCTTTGATGACAAAAATTGGGAATTATAACGTTATATTAGCTGTACATCTGACATCAATAGTCCACGTTGTTGAATAACATCGTAAACTAATGAAATGTGACGAGAAAATGGATATTGCTTTTTACCAGGTGGATGGACAGAGCGGGTGTAAATCATGAATGCAATGGCAGCAGAAAGTGCAGAGCTCCTAGCTAACCATCCTGGACCAAGAAGTGTAAATGCTAAAACACCTATTGCTGCACAACCTATTTGCGCCATGAACATATTGTACTTCTGCAATTTGGTTTTTTTTAACAAACAAAAAAAAAAAAAATCATTTTTATTGACCATAACTTGTTGAGCTGAATGAACAAATGAGAAATGGCACTTCGGGTCACTCTTGTTTGGACAGGTTACATGTTTAATTCATTTTGTCATAAAGGGTGACACATTTAGTCCTAAAACAGTATGTCTAGTATCTACGTTTTTATCGAGTTTGGTTAGAGTTTCAATTATTGATTTTTCCTTTTAAACTTTCCCACACGCACGAAAAAAGAAGAAGAGAAGTTCAGGAAAATTATATGATTGTCACAGGCAAAAACACGGGATAAACAAAATGCAACTGTAGAAAAAGAAACCAGAATTACCATTAATCCAAACAAATAGGACCAGAAATGCCATTTTCCAAAATTATCAATTCATATTTGGATTGGAGATAGAATTTTGTGTACCCTTGCGCCTGGAGATGAAGGCGTGGCAAACAGAACAGCACAAACAGCTCCCAATGGAGCAATTGTGATTGAAATCCCTTTTGATGCCAACATTTGGTCAACCTTCCCAAATATTGCCATTGCCGCAAATGCACCTATGTCGTTTGTTAGACGAATATTGACCAATTCAATAACACATTTTATCGTATATTAATCAGTATACCAAAATCAACATTATCGTACTTCCGTCCCAAATGATTGTCCTGTTTAGAATCTCATTTTTAGTTCAAATTTTATTAAAAGTAAAAATTAAAACTCGACTATATTTTTGGGACGGAGGAAGCATTATCTTAAGTCTCACAAGCGTGACATGATAGTATAAAGGAAACTCTAAATTACCTGCAGAAGGCCAAATAATGTCGCTGAGTGAAGGAGTTTTAGAGCCCTTTTCCGGTACAAAGGTATCCCAGAATGGCGTCGCCGCCGATGATGATGACGACGATACTATGGTCAACTTTTTCCTATCGCTTCTAACCCGTCTGAAGATTCTGCCATTTCTACCATCAATAGAAATCAATGGCGAAACAAAAGAAATCCGGCCGCCAAAGTGTACTAATTGCGGATTTGATACTAATGATGATGATGAAATTGGTCGTTTAATTTGATTCACAACTGGGTTGTGACGAATCTGCAAGTCCATTTTTTTGGAGCACCTTAATATTTGTGAGTCACTCTGTTTTTTTTTTTTTTTCTGGTTTTCGGGTTTCTGAGCCAAGAAAATGGCAGGGATTGAAATGGAAGAAGATAGTGACCGTTGGGAAATCTGAAAAGATGGGTGAAGAGGCCAATGGTTGCGCCTTGCGCCTTCTTTGGACGGTTGGAGTCATCCAAAGGCCATCATTTTGGATAAAAGTACAAAATGGGCTAACTTTTTAATGAAGAAGACAGGAAAAAAACAGAGAACTTTTTTTTACTAAATAAATTAATCACTTGTCAACTAGCTAGCTCACTAACAAACAATTTGAGGATTATTTATTTGCATAAATAAATAAATTATATTTGTTCATTATCTGTCCTAGGATGTGGAATTCAACGTACTCGATCCATTGGTTTTGATTTTATATTTATTGTGGGGGCATAGATAACTTCAATTTTAAATAGCTATACTAATAAGTTATTTTTTGTGTGAGGAAATTTTAAAGTAAAAAATATCAAATGCAACTCTTGATCAGGTGGATCTTTTCTAATACTTTTGGATTGCTTTCTTTTCCCAACAATAGAAACTAGATGCTTGGCCCGGGCATCTGCCCGGGTGCCCCTCTATTTTAATTTTGTGTTAATAGATAAATGAATTCTTGATTTGGAAAAAATAAAATAGTTACACATTTGGTTTTTTTTTTTTCCCTTTTTTAGCCAAAAATAAAAATAAAAATAAAAAAATCATCTGTCAAAGGAGAAAAAATATTGAAAAGTACAACGATGCAGAAATCATCCAAAAGAATATGGAGTAATAAAGGGGATAATTTTATGGACAAATTTAAATGCTATTTTAATTTGATTGATAAATGATAAATGTTAGTAGTTAAAATTGTGTAGCTATTTTTGTAAAGTAACTTTTGTTTCTCCGGATAAGAATTTTTTTTTCTTTTAAAAAGGGATGACACGTGGCAGAATGGTTAATGCAATATAGTGCATTTGCAGCCAAAAATTTATAATAACAAGTTGCCACATCAATATCATGTATTCTGCTTTAATAGGGTAAAAGGGATGGAAGTAATGGCAATTTAATTTCGTTTCTTACTATTATTACATTTCGTAAAAATTAATGAGTAAGAGTATAACTTTACTTTGTTAATCAGATAACCTATTCTAAATAGTCATAATCCCATACGATTACTTTACTTATCTTTTCAATCTCAATTAGGAAAAAGAAAACCTCAAAAGGGCGTTCTAAATTAGCCACGTCAAAATTTTATGCAAGAGAAATTTGTTTCTCTATTTTCTGATTTTTATTATGTTTATGATTATTGAGGAAAACTTGTTTTCTTCTTATAATTTATTTACAATTTAATAATTTATTCCCATACCCTTGCAAAAAAGAAATGCATCAATCGTCAGGTAATGCCTATTCTAAGAGAATGTCCATTGAAGATAGTAAAATACTAAATTTGGTATTTTGGTATAAACTTTGCATTCCAACGAAGATACCAGATCGGTGCACTATTTTGGTGCAATGAATAATATTACACTAAATATAGTGTAAATTGTCGATTACACTATTTTTGGTGCACTATTATTTTACTTTGATCTAAATACATTTTTGTTATATAGTTAAACTTACAAAATATATTATGTTATGAAAGTTATATCATATTAAATATTTTTTTGAGATCTACAATATAAGACTCATTGAATATACGATTTTATTTTCTAAAACAAAATTTATTTTTAGCCATTATTAAAATTGAATAGGTAAAAAAATTAGGAAAACTTCATATTTGTTCAATCAAATAATAAATGATTAAAAAATAAACTATACGAAATTACAAGATTTTAATCAATCAATAAAATAAAGTTCAACATAAAAATTTAACATTTAGACCTTTTGATGTATTAACATTGAAGTTCAAAGACCTTTGGTGTAGAAAGATGCTTGGAATGTTCTATTTCTGCACTAAATTTAACGTAAATTATAGTGTAACGATTGGAGACGTCCTAATGCGTATTTGAAACATGTCAAAGGTAGTGAAAGACTTCTTTAAATGAATGGTTATTTATCCCTCCGAAATGAGATTTGAATTTACCTGTTTCCTCTTTTCGGAGGAAAAAAAAAGCCTTTAGGTTCTGTCTTTTGCAAATAGTTCTGGGGCTTCTTTGAAATTAGTTGAGGCGGTTGGTTAAAGCATGTATTTATTATGTCCAGATAGGAATTAATCATCAAATTTTTTTAATGTAAATCAACCTTCAAATCCCTAGATTTTCTCCTTTCCATCGTTTCTAGATGGTATCAGAGCGAGTTCTAATCTGCAAACTTTGTGGGTAAACTTTGACCGTTTCGGCAATATATTCGGTTTAACTAACCCGTATTGGGCTTTGATTTATACTCGTATTGAGTTTTGACTGACCAGGTAGTACATCTGAGGAATTTTATTTACCCATATTGGGTTTTGACTGACCCGACAATTTATCCGAAGTTTGATTGTTCAAAGAGGTATTGTTCAATCTCTTTCGGCTTGAGAGGAGGTATAGAAATCCCTTTTGAACTTGAAAACAAGTGAAAGACATACTGGTTCTACATTGGAAATGGTAACCCAATTCGACCAACATATAAACCGATCTACTACTCCCTTTATAACTAATTGGTTTTGAGGTGTAACTATATGTGAGTTTACATAGGCCTTTAAGAAATATCACGTAATAGGTGTCATAACACTTATATTTTGTGGATTACTCTCTGCACATTTTTTATTTTTTTCTTATTTGTTATAGGTTGCTATTGACAAGAAAGTGAATTTCCTAGAGTTTTTTTTTTCTCCACCTTCTGTTTTTTTCTTCTTATTTTTAAATCAAAGTATTAACTAAGTACCCATTCCTGGGTCGAGCAAGGATCTGCGAGTCTCTTTGCCATCGCACAGCTATAGTGGCATACACTTTCTTCAATCCACCTAAAATCGCATCAAGATACGATCGCGGGAGAGTAGCATCAATGCCAGCTGGGATGTTTTGTTTCTTGCGATGCGGTACCAACTTCCTCAATTCGCGGATGGTACCTTCCAACTCTTCAATCCGCTCATCCTATTCGTCCCAAATTTGGATGAAATCACGAAGGTAGCCCTCCTAGAAATGTTCAGTCCTCCAGTAATCATATTGGCAATGCTTCAACAACAACCTCAATGCCTTGAATTCCACGTTGCACTTGGATCGCACAACATGGTGCGCATTCAAATTACAGGAAATGATCTGGTGGTAAAAAAATGACTCCATAACATCTACACTGGGATCAAGCATAAACGCGGATACCATACTATCCCCAACCATGTTTGCAGAATTGGAACCCTCTCTAATCGCAACCCCATCTGCAGGCAGTAATACGACAACACTGCACAATGGGTCGCCCACAACGGGGGAGTCGATCAACACCACATTTGGTACGCCTGGACCACCACCCCCAGATTCTGTTGGGCCTCCCCGAGATGAGTGGCGTCTTACATGCAAGGAGTACCGCAGTTAAATTATGCAAAAGTAAACGGACATATACCTCAAAACTAACATTATCTTAGGACATTGAGGTCTTGTCTCTGGCAGGCGGGGAAACTCCGCTGCGAGCATTCTTCTTGAGAGCACTCTCACCTCGTGACCCACCACAAGAGGAAGAGCAATAGCCAAAAGAAGAGTTGTCGCTTGAAGACTCACTGGGCAATGAAGAAGGGGCAACCACCACAGATGACGTGTCAAACGCGTCAGCAAGATCATGTTACGGAACCAAGATAATACGTGCAGCTTCTAATACGGATAGATATCCTGGATAGCCTTCGTCATAGGCAGAGCGCCAACGACGGTGTCGCGGATAAAGGCACGGGCATCCCGACACACCTTTTCCATCAATAGGTTGCGATCCTGGTAGCTTCCCAAGAGGTGGCCACCTAGTTACGAAGCATAGCTGCATCCTCTGGGTCAGACGCATAGTCTTGAAGATCTGTACCAGTAAATCACGTGCTCCAACATTCCCTGCCGACCCCAACATACTCCTAACCCCCCAATACAAACCGGTGTGAACCCAAAACTTTTTTGTACACCAGCGGAGATAATATCCCCAAGGATTGCACGAAAAGATTGACGACCCCAACATATTCTTGAGGTTTGTCCCCGATGCCAACAGCCCAGCATTCAGGCGCGCGACCTCTCCCTTGAACGACTCAATGGTGCAGACTTGGGTGTGAATCTATTCCTCAAAGTCAGTCTTCACCTTTAGTATCTCGGAATGCAAAGTAGCTGCTCCAGTAGTGGCTCCTTCCATGCATATCCCCAACGAGCCAAACCGGTGATGTACCACAACGCGCTACGCTTAAAATACTGATAATAAGAAACTCCACTATTTGTGAACCATGAATAGAAAACACGGGATGGATCAAACTCCACTGGCTGCATCCTGAGATTGGCAATGACTTATTTGAGACCCTGTGTGGGCTCCCGCGCCTAGCGACGATGAGAAGTCAGCGGTCGCGGTCTCAACCACATCTTGTTCAGTCGCACTAGGATTAGAAGGCACCTGGGAAGCACCGCTCCTGTCCTTGTTCCTTTTCTCGCTCCCCACTTGCGACTAGCTAGATGTTGATCCTCTTTGGCTGTCGGAGGCCTTCCTTTTCCTTGACACTTTGGTCCAAGGATCCACTAGTATCCACTAGGATTCATGTGCACTCATGTACAAGGGAATATTCTTATATTTTCTTTTTGGGTCTATAAAAGGAAGCACCCAAAGGCATTTATTTCCCATATCATTCTCTCTCTACATAACCTTTACTACTTTCCCTTTCTCTCTCTAAGAGTTCTGATTTTGGTATCGGAGTGCTAACTCTGTTTTGTAGGGCATTTTAGGAATTATAGGCGTTGTCCCGTGGACTGACCAAGGAACGCACCAACATCAGGTAAAGTATTAGGCCTCCTGCATTGGTATGAGGATGCACAATAGCTGTTCAAGGGGAAGTATCATTGATTTCTCTGCAACTTACTTCTGTTGCAGATGGAGATGCTGTTTTGAAACTGTTGTAGGATTGACATTCTTGATTCCCACCATGATTTTGACTCGAGAGTTGTTTACAGCTTGGACTTCTTGCTCTCAGGTAATAAACTCAATGATTCATCCTTTTTTGTTCCCTTAAGCAAGATTAAAGTTAACCATCTTTCTTTCTATCGTAGCATCCATATGTATATGGAGTTTTGGTCTTTGAGGCAATGGCTACATCGGGGGACAAGTCTCCGTCCTTTCACTGATTGCACTGTTTGGTGCTGCCACCACAGCCATGGTATGTATTTCACCAATCAAATGGCTATCATACCGTTCTATCAAAGATTAATTTTAAACTTGTCAAACAAAGGATGTTCAAATCTTTTTCTGCGACCTTAAAAATTTCACACACGTTGAATGAAGAAGCAAATAATGAGATCAAGTGGAAAATTGATGTCAAATCCTGGTTTGACATTGCTCTTGTCGCTTAACAGAAAACCACAGCTTGAAAACAGTAACATTACTGCTATCCTTTTTTATCACGATGCCATTGAGTGTACAACATGGAACTGGACTAATACTGATGGCGGTGGGGATCATTTTGAAGATGTTGCCGGAAAACAAACCACCTCCTAGATGGTTAGCAGCGAAGCCGACAATCAATGAGGGTAAGATTAGTTCCCAAATGGAGATTGAGAAAGAGGAGGAGAAGAGGCCTTTGGTCTGAGAAAGAAAATAGGATGTGTAGCTATATTGTAATCTTTCCTGAATCTAAATCGAAAGTATGTGTACTGTGTAGCACTAATTACCAAGTCATATAGAGCGTTGAGTTAACATTGCAACTCAAATGAGGGATGCACGTTAGAGTAGCTTTAAGTGTTGTTTTATTATGTGTTGAATTTAAAATGTTATGTATTTTATTTCAAGTTTAATAAACTACTTGTTATTTCTTTTGAACTTTGGACATTTAATCGCCTATGAATTAGTTGTTATTTTTTTGAGCATTGGACATTAATTTAGTATGCATTTAATTTATTTATAATGTTCTTAAATTACATACACTAGTTTTGATTTACATTAGAAAGACATTGCGTGGATAAAAAAAAAAAGACAATTGTGAATAATAAAACGTAATTTAAAAAAGAAAAAGAAAAAATAGAAATAAAAATTTGTGTGAAAATGATTTTCTTTTCTTCTTTTTTTTTTTTGAAAACACGTAAAATACTTTTGGAAAAGGCCTTGTCCAAATGTCTTTTTAATATTTTTAACTACTAAAAGGCTTTTGTAATTTTCTTGCATTTTTTGTACAAAAGTACTTTCTAAATATTTCCTTCAAAAAGAGTTTTATGAAAGGACTTAACAAAAAACTTGTCCAAATGGAGCCTTATTTTTCCATAACTTCTACAGTAACTGAGTTCTATATTTTCAAAAGAATATATATAGTACTTAAGCCGACGTTCGAGTAAGAATAAATATATATAGTACTGAATAAAAATATGACGACGTTGTAAAACGAAAACCGAAAAATATCAATGCAAAGAGGGAAAAATGAAGTAAAAACGAAAGACATTGTAGAAGATATCACAAAGTCAGCGGAAACCCCGGGGGCATCTTAGGGGTTTCCGGCCACGAGAGCACAAAATGACAAATTTCGTGTACTTACAACATAAACTATTGTATTGTAAATCATCATTCCATATTTATTACTCTCTCTATCTCATAATTATTGTCCTATTTGAGTTTTCATTTTTAGTTCAAATTGTATTAAAAGCGAGATCTCAAACTGGACAATAATTTTGAGACAGAAAGAGTACCTATATATCACAGTCCAATGTTCAATTATGATGCTAATAAGTTAAGGCGTAATTAGCACTACAGAGTTTGGAATTTCGATCTATATTGCTAAAAAAAATGAACTCCTCTTGCACAGCCCAGAAGTTAAATGGCAAAGTGGCAATCATCACCGGCGGTGCAAGTGGAATCGGGGAAGCCACCGCTCGCAAGTTCGCCGAACACGGTGCACGCGCGGTGGTGATCGCGGACGTGCAAGAAGAAAAGGGCCGTCAAGTGGCGGAATCAATCGGATCAGATCGCTGCACTTTCGTCAAGTGCGACGTCACCGACGAGGAGCAAGTCAAGTCCCTTGTGAAGTCAACGGTGGAAAAACACGGTCAACTCGACATCATGTTCAGCAATGCCGGGACGGTGAGCAAGTGTCCACAGGACACGCTGAGTTTGGATCTGGACGCGTACGAGAAGCTCTTCACGGTCAACGTCCGCGGAATGGCGGCCTGCGTGAAGCACGCGGGCCGGGCCATGGTGGACGCCGGCGATAGGGGGAGCATCATTTGCACGGCCAGCGTCATGGCTTATTGCGGATCGGCCTACAGTATTGATTACACGATGTCGAAGCACGCGGTGTTGGGGCTGGTCCGGTGCGCGAGTAAAGGGCTCGGCGAACACGGGATTCGGGTGAATTGCGTGGCACCGGGCCTGATCGCGACGCCGTTGGCGTGCGGGGCATTTGGGATGAGCCGGGAGGAGCTGGAGAAGAGATTCGAAGATGATTTTGTTATGAAGAAGTCGGGTTATTTGAAACCGGAAAATGTTGCGGATGCGGTGTTGTTTTTGGCTTGTGATGATTCCAAGTTTGTGACTGGGCATAATTTGGTGGTGGATGGTGGTTTCGTGCCCAGGGGATTATAAATTATTATTGCAATTATTAAATCAAGACCAGTTTGCCAGCTTTTTATATGCAATTATCTTCATGGATGCGCAGATATATCATTTCTTTTTTTGTTTCCAGCTGCAATTTCTGTTTTTTTTTTTTAATTTTTTTTTATAGTGTAAAGAGACTGCTCAATGCGTTTAAATCAAATTCTTCAAATTTCGTTAGCATTTCAAACATTGTCAATCCACCTATTGAATTTATACTATTAAATACACCTTATATCTAATTAACATATATATAATTCACTTTACTGTTTCCGTTCAATAAATTAGGGTGAATATATCCAAATGGACTAATGCGATTCAGTCTTGGTCCTCAATTGTGCTTCTAATTGGCCATGTACAATCAATGTGTCATTAGTTATGTATTATCTCTATCCAAAAAAAGAAAAAATTCATATTAAATTTTAAGAGTTGTACTAATACCGGTACAATTTCTAAACCTCAATGTGGATTATTTTCTTGAGACAAAGAAAGTATAAGATTATTAATTGCACTGTTTTTTCATTTCTAGAGTTGTAGAGAATATAATTGAACTGTTGCCTTTGGGCAACAAAAATGTTATGATTGAACTACCGAAATTATGTCTCCTTTCATCAAATGATTGTCATATTTGAATTTAATTTTTGTTATAAAAATTCGAAGTAGACAATTATTTTGAAATGGATGAGTAAATTACAACAACCTCTTTCTACCAAAATCAAACCTCTATATATAATATATTGAGTTAGGTCTCAATTAAGGAAAGGTGAAGAGGAAAATAGGGAGGAAGAAATTGTGATCAATATTCAAAAAGTTTACGACATCAAGACTTCATTCTTTTGAATCTTTAATCTCTATTGATCTAAAAAAAATCTTAACCTCTAAAATTTCGATCCAAGAATGAAATTTTGTCATGAACTCAATAATTATATCCAATATCCACCTAGGATAATAAAATTTTGTTGATCTTAGATCTCTTGACTAAAGGTTTTCACAATTGAACTAATGTAATACTGGCATTTTCTTGAACTCACTGGCCTTTGAGTTTTGACTAGGCCCACCCAAAAGACAAATGGCCCCATTATCTTTTCCCACGAAATTCTTCAAACTTTTGCAAATGGTGAGGAATATTATGTGGGCTTCAGTTAGTCGATCACTTTTCAAGTGGTGAGGAATCCATGTGATACTTTTCTTGGAATTAATCTCGTTAGATTGTTTTCTAATTTAGTTTCAACTATCATTTCAATCACCAAACTTGTTTTGTCCTTCAGTAGATGATCTACTGAGAAGATAGGAAGATAGAACTGTGACCATAGTACATTATAATTTACTAGTCAGTTATCAAAGCGACTTTCATGATGAAATTTGCTAGTAAGGTAGTCGCGACGTTGATGAATAAAATTCAATGATTATTATCGATCTAATTGTTAAAATTATAATTTATGCATTTAATCGATAATGAGCCATGTATTCTTTATTCGGATTAAAACTTTAGCACGTACGGTAACCCAATAAGCAAGAAAACAAAGGGACCTTTATGATCTTTTCTAATCATCCTTAATAAAACTTAAACCTTCGAGTTGAGAGCTACTTCAATAAGATACAAGAGAGATGCTACATTCAATAACTTTCAACAACCTTAAAAGTTGCTACATTAAACAACTTGCTGCTAATACAACATCGGTGGAATAAATTTGTGATTAAATGTCATTCCCTTTTTCTTTTTTTACTTAAATGTCATTCCTTGAGGTGAAAAATTTGTGCTTTAATTAAGATTTTCTCGTAAATTTCATTGGCTGAAAACTGTAGTATGCCAACATGCAACTCATTCGTTGGGGTAGAAATAATTTAAGCACAACTTTTTCTTTTCTTTTTTTTTTTTGGTTTTTAAGTTGCTGTAGCTAAAACATTTGTGGTAAAAATGTTTACAAAGATGATGGAGAAGCACTGAATAGTGATGTTTTCAGTGGAACATGGATACGAAATAGAACTGTACAGAACAGATATTTTGTTGTCTATACTACAATTTACTTTCTACGAAGAAAAATGTTTATAAAGTATGAACAATTTTTTTTTTTTTTTTAAAAAAAGAAAGCATAAACTGTTAGCATTAAACAGCAATCACTTTTTGAAATGTCAACTAGATAAACATGTAAGTTGACGAAGCCTGGATTAATACGGTGCTTGGGACAGGCGACGATGATGACCTAGACGGCGGCGAACGGCCTAAAACCTTCAAGACAGAGCCTGGGGTATCTCCCGAGGGTAGACACTCCGATACTTAAGTCAGTAAAGGAATAGAGATAATAGAGAGAGAAGGATGTGTAGCGTGTATAGAAGATGTAGAAGATAGACAGAAGATATGAATTATGGGAGAGGCACCACCTCTTTATATAGAGGTGGTGTTACCTGTTTCCTGAAACCTAGTCGTATTAGGTTTAGACGGTGACTTAATCTCCAAGTAATCTAATCCTAGGCCCAATAGGCCTAGGGTTAATTTATGACTTGTCAAGTGTCCCTAGCAAGCCATATTCTCGAGACTTGATGAGAAGGATATGGGTTGCTACAAGTGTTGATGTCTTCTCGAGTTTCGTGGTGTTGCCCCAGTTCTCGAACTCTTTCGTTCATGGGTGTCACCTATACAAGATAGAGAGAGTAGAATGCCTCGAGGAGGTCTTTGTGTTAGCGAGTTCCTTATTAGAAGGGGGAAGCCTGTTTATACCGAATTAGGAGGATGGCGCCTAGATTCTCTTATTTGAAGGGGAGAAGCCTATTTTCTCTTATTTAAAGGGGAGAAGCCTTTTTTTCTCTTATTTGAAGGGGAGAATCCTTTATTTCCTGTCGTGCAGGTCTTTCGTCGATATGCAATTTCACTCAAAAGGAGAATAATGGTATTAGTAATATATGAATATAGATTCGAGAAACGTATTTAGAAAAGGTTTGAGATGTACCTCGATCTCGAGATAAATTAATTATTCGAGAAAGTGTTACCTCGATTCCGAGAAGGTAGTTGTTGAGTAGATAAAAGTCGAGATACATCTTCTCGAACACTTCGAGAACTATTATTTTACTCGAGGTATGCTTACCCCTTCGAGGAGATGTATCTCTCGAAACTTCAATTTTTGAGATTGCCCCTAGCTAATTGTTCTTCTCGATCAGCTGTGGAGCAAGTGCAGCTCCTCGATTATTTGTGAAATTGAAAACTTCTTTGTGTTACTTGTCGGCTGACGTCGTCTTGGCCACACAAAGATAATTTTTTGCCTGATCTTCTTGCTGCGAAAGATACAAAAGATTCCGTGCTTCGCTAAAAAATTTATTTAGTTGTGAAGACCAAACAAATCGGTCTCACTGGGCGTGCCACTTTACGAAGTCTGGATTTGTACGGTGCTTGGAACGGGCGACGATGATGACCTAGGCGGCGGTGAACGGCCTAAAACCTGCAAGACAGAGCCTCGGGTGTCTCCGGAGAGTAGACGCTCCGATGCTTAAGTCAGTAAAGGAATAGAAATAATAGAGAGAGAAGGATGTTGACGAAGCTTGGATTTGTACGGTGCTTAGGACGGGCGGCGATGATGACCTAGGCGGCGGCGGACGGCTTAAAACCTGCAAGACAGAGGCTCGGGTGTCTCCCGAAGGTAGACTCTCCGATGCTTAAGTCAATAAGGGAGTAAAGAGAGTAGAGAGAAAAAGATGTGTATCGTGTGTAGAAGGTGTAGAAGATAGTTGGAAGATATGAATTATGGGAGAGACACCACCTCTTTATATAGAGGTGGTGTTACCTGTTTCCTGAAACCTAGTCGTAATAGGTTTAGGCGGTGACTTAGCATCCAAGGTAGTCGGCCCAAACCCATTAGGTTAGGGTTTATTTTATGACTCGTCAGATGTGTATCGTGTGTAGAAGGTATAGAAGATAGATAGAAGATATGAATCATGGGAGAGGCACCACCTCTTTATATAGAGGTGGTGTTACCTGTTTCCTGAAACCTAGTCGTATTAGGTTTAGGCAGTGACTTAATCTCCAAGTAATCTAATTCTAGGCCCAATAGGCCTAGGGTTAATTTATGACTCGTCATAAGTAGAGTTATGAGTAGAGTTATATTTGTAGAGAAGAATATCATTATTCAATTTGTAATACACTACCGAAAAAAAAATGTAGTGCTCTCTCCGTCCCATAATTATTGTCCAGTTTGAGTTTTCATTTCTTGTTCAAATTGTACTAAGAGTAAAATCTAAAACTGGAAAATAATTTTGGGAGAGAGGGAGTAGTACTTTTTTGGTAATGATGATCATGTCGATATGGTGTCACAGGAATATGGTGTCACAGGAACTTGGAATGCCAAGGGATGTTTTTCGTATAACATACCTTGGATGTCGGCTATATATATAAGGGAAGGAATAAGGCTGCGAATTTTCAATACTTGCTGGATGCATTCGACCTAAAATTAGGAAGTTGGAAAAATAAACTTCTTTCTTCAGGAGGAAGATTATTTCTGATCAAGCCTGTGCTCGCTGCAATACCAATTCATACACTTGCAGCCATAACTCCTCCAAAGCCGATCCTAAATGCTTTGGAAGCTAAATGCCAAGACTTCTTATGGAGCTCAACGGAAGATGGACCGAAGAGACAATGGAGATCTTGGAGACGAATTACTTATCCGGTTTATGAAAGCGGCCTTGGTCTTCGAAAGCTCCAAGAAGTGACAGATGCTTTCTCAATCAAGTTGTGGTGGAAATACTAGAAAAGAAAAGGGATATATATGAGCTAAATGTATATCATCTTTATCTCTGTTCTAAAAAGAGAACAAGTTGGAAGAGGATTCAAAAAATTGAGCAAGTTTCAATAGAACATTCCATGGTTCAGATCGGTAATGGATTAAGCTTACTTTGGTATGAGCCTTGGATTGGAAAGGAACTTCATTGGGAAGTTGCTGCTTCGGATATTCGGCCATACAGAAATCGTAACAATATTACGGGAATTCTTCGATCACAAGGAACATTATCTTTGTTTGAAGTGATTTTAAGGATTTAATTAGATTAGTTTTGATTTGATCTTATTTAGTAGTTAATGCCATTGGAGTCAATATTCTTGTATAAATATTTATTGTATCAATTCAATAAAATTCACAAAAATTTCACCATGTATTTCTT